TTGCCTGGAAGTTCACCGTTTGAACAGCCCTCTGTTGCTTTCAGGTCGTGCGGCAGAATGAACCTGCCAAGCGTAGCAGTCGATAGTGGACAGAGCTTCACCATAAAACAGCACTGGTCCCTCAATGCTTTAGGTGACTGTGAGGGATGGCGAACGGTGTAGTCCCGTGTTGGCAGAGGCCATAGGTCTTCGTAGTTTTCGGTAGACAGCAGGTTGCCTGACGTGGCGCTCGTCAGAGCAGAGGTTGAACCAGTAGCGTGTTTTCTGTCCCTCACTCATCTGGTGTTGCTGAACAGGTGTGCTTCTGTGTAGCTCTTACCGTGCGGACTGACCTTAGTCATGACAGGGTGGCTAATGTTGGTGATAAGGCCCTTGAGGCAGTTGTCCCCTTGGCCTGGAAACAGAGAGACATGAGAAGGGTCTGAAGATCAGGTGACAATTTTTTCTCAAATGGGTGTACGCATTCCCCCAGTGGTACTTCGGAGTACTACAGTACTTTTGTTGATTTAAAAAATGTAAGTCATGCATAACTCCTCAAATAATTATACTATAATAATTTCAATAAAATGTAAATGTAAATGTAAATTTGGTAAATCACATTTTACATTCAATATTCCCATTTTTCAATGCAATCATTAACTGCAATAAAGTTTCAACTGCCCTAAACCTCTGGAAAAGTTTGATCACCGTAGTTGCCTCCCTGCCACATACATTAAATGACAAGGATGCTGCAAAAGCTAAAACGTAAGAGTGCAATTCATCAAAAAAACATAGTTCAATGCAGTTTTAATGCCGTCTTAGTGTTATTGCAAGATGCCAAACATTTAGTGATGGATTCTGAAAACAGAAATGTTGCTTTCAATTGTTTCTCAGTTAATGCTGTGCTGTATTATACCTATTTGTACAGGCAATTTTTTTTATGACCAAAAACGTTGGTCAGAAGGTACATTAATTTAAAAAAGACACACTTACCTCTGAAGTCTTTGGGGATTGTCTTGCAGGACTCAGCACTGTTCTTCAGGTAGCGTAGTTTCTCTTTGACAGTCTTCATGTTAATTGTGTCTGACATTTGCATCTTGTCTACATCTGTACGCAATTTACCCACCTAACATACACACACACACACACACACACACACACACACACATTTACATATTGCACATAGACAGGTTAGGTCATCTTACTTTAGGGTTTAGTAAAGTTTGACTTCATGCTGCTCCTGTAGGCTATTGCCTGTCAACTTTAAGAGTCATTTTAGAGTTACCTCTTTGGAGAGCTTTCGTGTTTGGGCGTTGTTAAGCTGACTGTGAACGGCACCAATGTCTGTCTCCAGCTGGCTGAGCTCCTCACCCAGGTAGCGCAGAGACAAGGCAGTGTACAGCCCCCGGTTGTGCAGGTACTGGTGAGGCTCCAGCCGGGACGTAATGTTCTTAACCACAGCCTGAATCTGAGGGAGACGCTCACTGGACAACTTCACCTGCAAGGACACACAAACAGAAACTCCTGTTTCTTGATTGATAAATGATTTTCATTTTATTGTGTACTGTACCCCACTGTAAAATTATTCTGGTTGACTTTAGTTCTCACCTGTTCCTGTAGGGTGTTCAAAGATCCTCCACAGGACTCAACCTGCTGCAGCACAGCCTCATACTTCACAGCAGGGAACGACCACAGGGTAGAGTTCACCTCACACGCACACGAGCCATTCTTCCTCACGCCTGACACACGCTGAGCCTGACCATCACCCTGCAGTCACACATGTAAAAAACACAAAAGTTGTATACAGGACATTTACAAGCATAATAAAGAGACTGCACTAAAAAAAAAAACAGAAAAAAGCCTCAGTCTACTTTCATCAAGTGCTATATCTATTAGTTATTATTAATCTTAGTTTCTCAAAGTAGGATATCAAGTGTAACTCACTGGTGACAGCAGCAGTAGAAGCAGCAGTAGCATGTTTAGAGCTGGAGAAATTATTAGTGGACTAACACACAGAAATTGCAAGTACTGTAATCACAACCCCTCCTCATCACTTTTCTCTAACACAGTCGCAACAAAGACACATATTGCTGACTTGTTTCATATCACCAATGAGTCACTGTAAAACCTTAAAAATACTTAGGTGGATGTGAAACTGCGTTTCACAGCACTTATGGTCAGCCAAGAGAGTTTGCTATATTTTCCCTCTCCTTAATGCAGAGGTTATTATTTCCTCTTTGCAATATCATGTGCAGTGTGGTCTACTTTTTAACGTTCATATAACATATTAATGCAGCAATGTATTCCATACAGAACATAACAATATATGTGTTGTGTGTCTGACTGGGGAAAAAGGGCTGGTACTGACAGGTTGATGATGCAATGAAACATAGGTGAGCAGGACGATGTGAGATTCAGGTGACCAGGATTGATGGGAAAATCAGAGGGCATCTGAAGCACAGTTGGAGAAGGACAATGACAGCAAAGGTTCATAAAAATGCAGGAGCATGGGGAAGTGGGGATGAGTCTGAGTCTAGACATTTCAGGCTGAATTTTTGGCAAAATGGGCAAAAATGAAAAGAACCAGCTGTTTTGACACAGTATCCACAGGACAATTTCTACAGCAATTTCATGTTATTATGTAAATCATAATTTAAAATTGTATTGCACACAGATGCAGGATTAAACAGGATTACCTGGATAACTTTGCTGAATTAATCCTAGTCAATTAATCAGTCAATGTTCACACTACAGAATCCTGCGTACTTTTATATATGTGTTGTTTATCCCATACATCCATATATGAGCTGTGGCTGAGAGGCAGAGCGGGTTGTCCACTTATCGGAAGGTTGTTTCTATTCTATTTATTGTATGTATTGTATATATTATTCCTATTTTATCTTACTGAATTTCATTGTATTCTATTCTATTTTGTTCTATTTTCTTTATTCGTTGTACTACATTCACCTGTGCTGCTGTATCAATTTCAATTTTCCGTACGGGATCAATAAAGTTACAAATTATCTTATTTTATCTTACAGTGGAGAATGATAATACAGTCTTCAAGGAGATCATCACTTACAAATAGTATATTTTAAATCATATACTTGTGGTGTCATTAAAAAATGCTGTAGTTACGAAACAACACATTGCGTGAACAACATAAACCACAGAATGAATCAGTCAATAAAAATGCTGCTGTCTGTCTGGGTGTGGAATTTCTCCAGTAGATATATTATGTGTGCTTGGTGCAAAGTGGTCACTCTCTGTTCCTGAATCCTGTAACCACATCTTCAGCACAGATACTGTACCATACCCTTCCACATTTAGATTTCTTTCCCATCATCCAGTCTCATCACCGCAGCCGCCACAGACTGTCTGCTCTATCTGAATGAGAGCTGGACAAAACATGTCAGGGTGAGATTTGTTTCTTATGACGCACTGCTAAATAGAGACATATAAAACTATATTTTGTCAACAGCATGAAGAAAAATCAATTAATCTTTTTTCAGATAAACTGTATATCGTAAAATTTCTAATAAAAGCATTGTCTCAATAGACGTAGGTCTCTTTTACTAGCGTAGATCAGTTACATTCTTCGAACTATGAACACCAAAGTGTAATTCAGTCAGATTTACTGGCATGGTAAACAAGAGAGATGAAAAGTGCTGACTTCTAACTTCTGACAAGTAAAGTTTGTTGCTCGCTGTCTGTATGCTGGGTGCTGTACATTTTTGGCTGCTGTAAAAGGACGTTCACGTTCAAGTGTCATGGTGGTGGCAGACAGAAAGAAGTGTACTTAAATTCAAGCTGTTTGTTGTCAAATTTGCTCAACAAAAACGAAGGAGAAGCAGCACAATTAGATATAGTATTTCCCATCTGCTGAGCAAGAGTTTTGTGTAGAAGGAATTAATGGCCTGTCCCATATAGATGCCTATTTCCAATAAAGGCAGGGTGAGTCCAGTGATTAAAACAAATCCGGGACAAAACTTGGGCTATTATAATAAGTTTTACGGTATATACTTTATTCCTGTTTTAAGTGTTAACTGCCATTATTTACTACCAGTGCATTCTTTACAACTACTTGCTTTACAGCCCAGTGCAACTAACGTGCTATATACTTTATCCACCATAAGTTCATATTATTTTAAATAAAAATAAAAAAACTGTGAAAATAACTGTGACACCCACAGCTTTGTTACACAGCTAGTTATTCCTTGTTGACACCATATATGACTGCTGGGATGCACAACAAATGCTGTAGTCATGAAACAACACATATAACAAAAACCACAGAATAAATCAGTCAATGAAAATGATGCAGTCTGTCTGGGTGTGGATTTTCTCCAGTGGATATCTTGTATGTTTAGTGCAGAGTGGTTACTCTCTGTTCCTGAATCCTGAAGCACAGATAGTGTATATGCATCCCTTCAAACCCACAAAGTTAGAAACAGGCAGATATTAGTCACAGCTTCCCTTTTACATTTAGATTTCCTTCCCATCATCCAGTCACATCACCGCAGCCTGAAGGACCAATGACTTCCAGCCCCCACAGACTGTCTGCTCTGAACGAGAGGTGGAAAAAACATTCATCTCAGGTTGAGATATGAACTGGTATCTGAAGGCAATATTTGTTTCTGATGATTCTAAATAGAGAGATAAACCTATATTTTGTCAACAGCACAAACAAAAATAAATTTGCTTTTTTTTCAGATAAACAGTATATACTTTTAATTCCTGTTTTAAGTGTTCTGCCATTATTTACCATACACTGCAAAGATTTGTACATATCATTTTCAATTTAAAAAATAAAATAATAATTCCACAAATAAAAAACTGTACTGTATTCATCCCTGTCTACTGCTACTTTACTGACACCCAATGCTTTGTAACACAGCTAGTTATTCCCTGATGACACCACATAAGATTGTTGGGAGATTTAAATGCAGAACCTCTGTTCTACTGAATATTTACAGTCTCCTTTTGTCTTGTGTTTGCTAATAAAACCACTTAATTGAAGTAGTGTTCACATAACAATAATTGCTAAATTATCATTTGCTTTCAGTATTGTCCCTGTCAACCCGTCTTAATGTGACTGTAGTGCACAGTGTATATTCTCCATGTGCAGTATTTTGAATCACTGTATTATTTATCTCATACATCCACACAGGGCCCTGTGCAGATGCAGTCTCAGTGTGCCTCTTTCCCTTCTGGTCATTGTACAAATAAGATTGTCTTTTCTTTTTAATTATTTTTGGCCATTATACTTTTTTTTTATAGCAGGTAGTAGAGAGATAACAGGAATCTAAAGCACAGAGAACGCTGCTTAATTTATCAGCAATCTAAGCTAAACTAAGCCGTACCTATAGGGCCAATCTAAACTGCAGATGGTAGCAAGTTGTATTCATTCATTTAACATTTGAAAGGATTTTGTTAAGTTGTTATGTATATTGCTGAACACTCTGTCTGCTACAGTGGATAATGATAATATAGTCTTCAAGGAGATAATCTCTTAACATTTTAGTGTATATTTGTGTATACTTATACTTATACTTGCACTGTAGCATGCACAACAAATGCTGTAGTTATGAAACAACACTTAAAACAAAAATCCCAGAATGAATCATTCAATAAAAATGCTGCAGTCTGTCTGGGTGTGGACTTTCTCCTGTGGATATCTTGTGCATTAAGTGCAGAATTGTTACTCTCTGTTCCTGAATCCAAACCCACAAACTTAAAAAAGCAGTCACAGCTTCCCTGTTACGTTTAGATGTCCTTCTCATAATCCAGTCACATCATTGCGGCCTGAAGGACCAACAACCTTCAGCCTCCACAGACTGCCTGCCGACAATCTTGGTGAGGTGATTTACACCATTCTGTGCCTTGTGAACTCCTGCAGTAACACTTCCAGGAAGCAGATCAGCCTGGCCTAGCAGTTCTAACTGGTATTGCATGGGAACTGTACTCTTGCTTCCGTCTTGTCTGATTGTGTCTGACCTCCTAGCCTTCATCCTGCTTATAGCCAGTAAGCTAGCTATCAACCTGCTAGCATCCAGTCTGCACCTCAGCCTGTTAACAACAAGGCACTCCCTTAGATTAGGCTTGTGTTCATGAGCCTGCAACATGCCTGTCCTTAGCTGGCCAACCCACAACCTGCCTGTCCTGATCCTCCCTCACCTGATGCCAGTGGCACAGCTGCCCAGTGCCCCTGATCCTCAGCTGGCCACTGCCCAGTGCCACAGAGACTGAGCTGCCCAGTATCTTGGCCTATTTTTCACCTTTTCTGGTTCCTTGTTGGCGGTCTGGTCAATACTTGTTCCTCCTGTCCTGCAGCCATCCCCTCCCCTGTTCCTGAGCTGCATCTGTCCCCTGTTCCAGTGCTACAGCAATCTGCCTGTGCAGCAATTCATTTCAATTCAGTTTTATTTGTATAGTGCCAATTCATAAGAATAGTTACCTCAGTACACTTTTCAAATAGAGCAGGTCTAGACCGAACTCCTTATAACATTTACAGAGACCCAACAGTACCACCATGAGCAAGACCTTGGCGACG